CTCTCTCTCTCTCTCTCTCTCTCTCTCTCTCTCTCTCTCTCTCTCTCTCTCTCTCTTATTATATAGAAATATTAATTTCTTTTTTATCACTTTTAACTTAAACTTTCATCGAAAATTATTTAACTTAAACAAGTTCATTCATATTTAAATTTTATATATTCCGGGAAAATTATAAAATTATATACTATCGCTTAAAAGTTTCAGAACGTTCTCCATTTAAATTTATTACATACTTCAACTAAAATTAGAAAAAGAGAACTTATTTCTTTTCAGATTTTAATTCGAGCTTAATTTCCTTTTAATAACAGAAAGCAGACTCTTGATATTCTATGATCGATAAATTTTTTTAAATACCTTAATTAAAGATTTATGTTTAATCTAGCACTTAATTTCTATAAGACTACGTGTATTGTTTTTATTTTCTCATTATAAATCACAATATTAAAATGTTTTGTCGATGTTTAGCGCAAAATTTGAAATTGATATTTTTTTTCAATCGATATACATGATATTCATTTACTTGAGAAAACAACTACAAATACTTACAATTTCCGTTTATAATTATTTTTCGGCAATTCACTTTTACTTTCATGACCAATTGTATTATAATTTTATATTTTATACATGAAAAATACATGAAATTGTTAGAGCAATAATACATAAGACGTATTGAAACTTTTGAGCGATTGTATATATTGGAAGGCTTTAAAGTATACACAAAAATTAATTGTTTTTTTCTATGAAATATATAAATTTTATCTTTAATAAAAAATATTTTTATCTTTCTAGATTGTGAACAAATTTCATCATACTTATATTTAATGAAAACGTCTTTCTTACATAAAGAAGCAATAGATCATTAATAACGTGGAAAATTACGGATATGCAACGACTTTTGTCGATTTTTCATTTAAATTAATCACGTATGTATATTGCGTCACTTTGCAATACCGGTAGTGGTAAAAGTCTTACAGTATTTGATAGTCGCGGAGAAAAAACAGTGAGGAAAAACTATAATTATAAAAATTTAATATCCAGGCATTAATAATTTCCCAACAATTGTAAACAAAGAAAATAGTTTCGTAAATTGAGTTTCAGGAAAACGAACAAATATTAAAATTATATTTTTTTTATTGATATATCAATTTGAACTCTAATGTAAGATTTAATTATAAAAATATATAATGTTGATTTAGAAGCTTACTCTCTATTTTTTCGAAAAAAAATAACTTATAGAAACAGTTATCGAAATTAAAATCAAATTATGGATAATATCTCTAACATATAAATTTTAAAAAGCAAAGAAGAACTGTTAATACTGAACGTAAACACATTCAATTTCAATATTACGCATATTAATATTATTGGAAAGTAGGTATACGTCATAATGCTAGGAATGAATCATATTATTTTCATAATAGTGAATGAATTAATAATAATAAATAATAAATAAGCGTTTAAATGTGATAACGATTCACCTCGAACTCCATTCTGTGACGTTTATCTAGTCATAGCTTCGTAAGCAGATCAATATATTTTGCAAAGATCGCGTCAATTTAATTGACTTATTCATAGGTCTTTCTGTAATGCATTAAAACGCAATTATCAAATTGATCTGTTAACCCTCGCATGAGTTGTTTTTATCGTATTTTACTTGTAATTACAACGATAGATAATAACATAATGATACAAGAAATTTTTATATATTATAATTTTTATATATTATATAGTTATCACGCGTACAAAAAAATCTTAGATGCAGTTTCTTGGAGAACTATGAAAAAAAAAAATGTTTCAAATAGAAATGTTTAAAATACTCTTATTAATTCATTCCTAGTCACTTAATATATTTAAAATATTTACATATTTTATACCGTAAAGTTCCTCTTCTATTGGTAAACCATGCGTAAAAAACTTGAATAATAGGACGATAAGAATTGAGAAAGACAAATTGTAGCCCATCTTCATCACACGATTGATTTATAACGTTGTATATTTGACTTGGCTAAAAAAAGTTTACATATATGTGTATGTATTTATATTTTATTTTAAAGAAAAATTTAGTTATAATCTTTTAAATTTAAATTTAAAAAATTTAATTATGTTTGTACATATATACGTATGTGTGTGTGTGTGTGTGTGTGTGTGTGTGTGTGTGTGTGTGTGTGTGAATTATATTTTTAAACAATGACATTCCCTTTTTTATACGATGTTATTAAAACGTAGATTTATAAAAATGTACAATTAAAAAATTTGTTAATTAATTTAGAAGATAAAAAGAAAAATAATTCGAAAATGTAACTATAAATACAAATTTAAAGTTTCAAATTTAATTACAAACTTTTATATATTTTTAACAATAATAATTAATAGATTCTTACGGAAGAAATTTTTTAACTTTAACTTTATTTTTGTATCTTGCAAATCAAAACTGGTTCACTCTCCAAATAGATCACTTATTTTTTAAGATATTCGAAAATATTTTCTTTTAGAAACATGGATTAATAATACAAGTAAAAAAGGCACTTGCAACACGTTGCTCGCAGCTCGAGGCTCGAGGCTGCTCGAGACTCGACTCGATACTCGACTGACGACTGCTGACGACTGACGCCATGCGATGTGAATGTGATCCGGTATAGTCATCACAGAAACGGGGTAGAAATGACGTAGAAACACTGATGCTCGTACGATAGCTTTGATCACTATCGTATATTGTGCGCAACGCGCTGTATAAATCACGTAATGTTCCGCG